ATTTAAAATTTAAAATGCAGATTCTTCTAATGATAATGTTTTAATCTCCAGCATTGAACCCAGGATGAACACCCAGAGGCATAAAAGGGAGCACACACAGGAAAAAGTTGACTAACCTCAATCACACCTATTTAAAAACATGCTAACATGTTCGCCTCGTGGCCTTCATCAGAGCATGAATGTTTTAATCTCATTCTCCAAACACTAGCCTGTTATTGGCATAATTAACATTTCAACTGAAAATGCATTTTACCCCATTTTTAAAACCACAGGTTCAACTGCATTAAAAGAAACCCAATCAGAAAATGAATTCCCTCTCTCTCATCGTGCAGAATGGCAATTTTAATAGATTGCCACTCATTCGTTGCCACATGCTTAAAAGTCCATCATCCATTAGCTACACCTGCTTATCCTTGAGTGTCCGGGGCTGACAGCAGGCGAGTGGCGGGAACCTTCTTGCTAAAAGGCGACAGCGCTTACCACTGCTGAAGTGTTTTTGTTAAAACAGGGGGCTTTTTATTGAGCGCTGCGGTTCACAGCTACAGCGGCGTTAACGAGGGAAGAGCTCGTCAGCTCTAATTGAATGACTCCTGATTAAACTGGTTTCACATTGGCAGCCAACATATCACATCTTGTCTGACTTCTAATTGGGTGCTTCCTTGATGCTCCACGTGCTCCCGGAGATACAAATGTCTGAACTGTCGGTCAGTAAAGAGAGTGGAGCAGAGAACCACTGGCATAAAGTGATAGAATATACTGGCTCGCTGCAGAGGACTAAAAGACACAATACCCTGCCAATAAAGGTGATGACATCTTAGATTTCTTACATGTTCACGCTGTCAGGTGTCAAAACAAATGTCGCATAAGACAGAGAAAGAACATGAAGTTGATGTAAAGTGTCTGTACACAGGTGTTTTCAGTAGTTAAGGTGGATTAAAGCAGTGGTTCCCAACCTTTTTCATTATGGTATGACCCTATGTTCTATCATTAAGTAAACTGACCACACATGACTAAGTGACATATTTTATGGACATTATAAAATATAATATATTATATCCAATGCATATCAATAACAAAGCAACTGTTAAACTGTACAATTAACTCAAACAGTGAATGTAATAAATGTGCAATTTGGATGAATTTTGAAAATATTACCTGTTGAAATTGCAACAAAGATGAGTTTGATATTTTTTATCAACTTTTTATACAATTACTTGTCTGTATTGTGTATTTCTTTTATAAAAGTCAGTGTTTTCTTCTCATTGTTCTTTTTGCTCTTTGGTTGTTTTAACTCTTCTGATGCAGGACGAGGCTGTTTTCAGAGAGAAGGCAGGCCTCAAAGTTAAGATCTTAAATAATAATCAAAACTTAAAAATAACAATTTAATTTAGTTTTCTTCACAGAAATTCTGAGATACAGGCCCACTATCTATTTCTTAAAATCAAGAAGGCGTCACAACCCTTAGTGTGGGTGTCCACCCTGTGTGTGTAAAGCCCATATTATCTTTATAATATCAATCAATCACATGAAAACAATGTGACGGTGTGAAAAGGGTCACTCGTAGACAATTATCACCCGAATCTGCAGATCCCATCAGCCAACAGAGCGTTATAGTTTCAGGTCCTTGTTTCGCTGCCCAGCCAGTTACCTTACTAATTTACTCTCACCGCTCTTACGGTGCTGACAAATTCATTTCAGGAAATTCAGAGTATGCTGGAAATTATGTCCATTGTGCCATGATGATGATGATTACATTGACAGTGTTGGTGGAGACTCTTAAGTGATCTTCTTAAGCATTACATGTGAAGATTAGAGAATTTACTGTGTATTTTTCTGTAAATAATAAACATAACTGGGTTTTTTTTTTCTCACTGGCATTTTTGTATCAATAGCCCTTCAACGTTTTGCATTTGTATGGACTCGTCTTCCAGCTTCCACTGGTGTTGGCAGGGCCATGACTCCACACTGCAGGAGCACATTCAATTAACAGATAGTGTTAAATACAGCTGCTGCTGCTGTGGACCTTCCTCGCAGTAGACATGTTGACTTGTCAATCACAGGTGAACTAATAACATAAATTGCGGCTGCATGCAGTGC